GATCCACTAAGAACCTGATTGGTTCTTTAAGTTTTGACCGGTCACGATAAAAACTGTAAGAATAAGAAGGAAACATTTAGTGATGATTTGATCTCACTACATAAATTTAACCACACACTACTGATGGACTGCATCTTGTTCATGTCTGTCCTGTTTATGATAACATGTTAAACGTTTCCTCAGAGCAGCTGAACATTGGTTTTAGACTCTGACTCACAACACAAACTAATCCTGGCTCTGAAAACACTTGTTTATATTTGTCTCTGTGATTTGATCTGTTTTCTGAGTTTCAAGACTCAAACATTCAAACTACAAAGAAGCAGGATGAATGAGCACAGCTACAGTCCATCTCATGAACAGCAGGTTCTGATGGTTCAGCTTGTTCCTGATTGGACACACATGTAATCCAGTTCTGCTCCACAACATGTGCAGGTGGAGACACAAAGTGATGAAGACTCTGCTGTCTGTCAGCTGAACGTGTTGCTGCTTCAATCTTCATCAGGGTCACTAAAGTTCACAGCAGTCAGGAGGTCAGAAATGGATCTTTGGTGTTAAAATCAGAGAGATGTTACTTTTTGTTCTTTAGCTTCAACTTTGTCTGTGTGTGAGGAGATGTTAACATGTGTGTGTGTTGTCACTGAGCTCTACTCTTACTATTCACATCATTTATTTTTCTCACACAAACTGACATTTTTGTAAACTGTAGCAGAGAAATATTTCTGCTTCAAACATCAAGCAGTCTCACATTCTCCTCTGACTCTGAGTTCAGACAGAGAGCTTCATGAAGACCAGTTAGTTCAACACTCAGTCATGTTTCATATTAATGTTCAGAAGAAGAAAACCACTGAAAACACTCAACCTTAATACTGATTATACATTTTAGTCTAAATTATAAATACTCCAACAGCATTCAAATTAAATGAGAACTTTAAAACTAAAATTGAATAATTTAATGTTTATACTGTTTGTTTAAACCAAACTACTGCTCAGGTTTTTTTAAATAATATATATTTGTAAAATAATAATGTTCCACTAACAAGTAGCCAAAAGGATACAAATACTGGTGAAAATGTAGTATATTATACTTTAAACCAGGACAGGGCTGATACAAACACATCTAATATT